GCAATAACATAATCCAACATGACAATTCGGCCGACGATATCATTTATTGGCTTAATTACGTACAAAACAATTAACGAAAATAAATATGCAACATACTATCACTCACTCAATTGCAGGCTACTGATTTGAGACAGTCACATACAGAATGTGCCGGGATTAACACGTTTATGTACATTTTGGCAAACTATGGAATAATTCTGTAATTATTTGTCCATACCATCGAAATACCGTTATGTTTATTTCACCGTTGAGAACAATGAAGCTGTATTGTATTTTAAGAACGAACTGTCTTGTATGTTCGTAAACCATATTATGTTCGATTGTCATATTTGTTTAGTTAAAATATTTTCCTTGTTCTCCTCAGACGAAGAAGTATGGCTTGGAATGAATGACATTCAGAACGAAAGACATTGGCGTTGGTCGGACAAATCTATTGTGTCGTATACCAATTGGAGATATAGTGAACCAAATGGTGAAAGATGGGAAAACCGTGGATGCTACTGTAAAAATACCTGTTTCTGGACTAGTTTTAATTGGAATGACAGAACTTGTACGTACCTAACAACTGGATATGTCTGTGAAAAGAAAAGATGAGCATCTCTGTTATTTTAAATTGACTGTCAAACTACCTTTCTGAGCAGTTTTTTTGCAACAAGATTTTAAAATGAATGGTAATCATATAACCAATTATTAATTTCGTCTTATGTAAGCATGCAATATTTGTTTCTGGACCTTAATAAAGTTAATAAGTTAATTGATCAATTTATTATTTGTAACTGTGTTTCTACTTTTTAACTGACTCTTTATATATTATTTTATCACTGAATAAAGATGATTGCAGTCAACATTTTTTTTAAAATTTATAACCATCGAAAGTTCTCTTGAAGACTGATCCGCTATCATACAACTAAGCATACTCATTGGCGTATAGGATTATACTAACAAGTATCTCTCTGTGTATGTGGGCGACATCTGAAAGTGACAGGCAAAAAAAAAAACCCAATGATCTTTAAGTTTGTCAGTGTTTTCTTTCATTTTCATTTTCATATAATATATTAATTTGTTTTTTGACAAAAAAGTCGAGAGGAGGGACAAAAATATATTTCTCCTACATCCTTGATACTTTCTGTTTATTGAAATTGTATTTTTAAGCCGTAGTTGAAGAATTTTGAATAGTATTTTTGGAAGAAATATATGCAGTCATCGTACAAATGAGAAAACATCTGATTCACGACACAGATAAAAAAAATTGTAACCGTACTCCTATAGCTTACATGTAGTAGAACAGACATTAATTGCTATGCTAGTTTTATTGGAATACGTTGCTGATAGGGAATATACTGTTGGTATTAACACCCCCCTCCCCCCCCCCCCAAAAAATAAAAATAAAAATAATTTACTATAACGTGTTTGAAAATATTAGTTCATTGTGACCTTTTGAGGAATTTGTCTAGAAAAAACATTATTGGAGATTTAAACCAACTCGAATAATTCAGAATAGGCTTCAATAACATCTTCTTCCATTTTCAGTATTTGCTTCTACAGCAAACACACGTGGTTTTTTTTCCTTAGGTGATTTTTCTTGTCAATCTCCTGAAACTATAGTTGCGAATAATTTACATATTTTGAATATTATGTTTACGAATTGTTATCGACTAAGTGGCGTTGATGTGTTGGTTGGTTTCATTTTTTTTTATTGCCGTCTCATTGACTTGGACACAATACTTTTTTTTACTCGCATTGACACCATGGCAATGGAGGAGTAAATTAATGTCTTCAATAGACATATCAGCAGTACTTGTTCCAGTAATAAGATCTTGCAGTGCTCCACGACCATGATGATTTTTTATCAAGACACATGTTTGCCGATATCCACCACCCTAACCTATGACAGTTGTGTAACAGCACACCATAACTCATCAGATCGATACTTAGCACGAAAACAAATAACTTAAACACCAAAGACACAAAGTACCGATCTGAGAGTACTCGCAGTTACTGAAAGCTAGTTCAAAGCCAAAAGCAACCAATAAAAGATATTCATGTATCTAGGAATAAAAGAATGAATTGTTGGTGTAGATACTGGTTTCAAACGTTTTTGTCTAGCATTTTGGTGGCTGAAATACTATAACAAGCTAAAATTTCTTTGCTGAGCAGTTGTACTAGACAGATAACCTAATGCTTACTAGATAAAGTAAATCGGAAGAAAAATCCATCCCAAAGGTTTATCTGGTGGTACTTTTCCAGCATTTGTATGCACTTTCAACCTCCAGGTGTTCCTTGGGTTTGAACCCCCTCCCTTTTCTCGATTTTAAAACATTTTTATAATTATGTGAACGTTTCATGGTGTTCCGGGGGTTGGAACGCCCCCTCTCCCTTTTCAAAATGGCTGGATACTCGCCCGACCATCTAGAACATCTAGCTTTGTACTAATTAGAACAGAGAATGGAAACAGGGAATCAGTCAAAGAGACAGCATCCCGACCAATCAAATTATTTTTTTCAAAATTTAACACCATAAGGTATGGGGAAAAATTATAGTCATTTCGTATCCCTACCATTCCGTACCCCCCATTTCGTACCCTGGCAAAAACCAGTCGTACTCTGATCATTTCGTACCTCATGGAATATTTACATGTATACCATTTCGTACCTCATGGAATATTTATATGTATACCATTTCGTACCTCGTGAAAGATTTGTATGTATACCATTTCGTACTTCATGGAATATTTATTAGTGTTTCATTTCTTGTTAAATACTGTATCATTGATGTGCGCCATTTCGTACCTTATGTAAGATTTATATGTATACCATTTCGTTCCTCATGGAAGGTTTGTATGTATGTCATTTCGTACCTCGTGGAAGATTTATATGAGTTAGTTTTATTTCTTGGTTAAAACACTCTCATTGGCCTTTTACTGTAAGGCGGTCGAGATCACGAGAAATGTCTAAAATTTGAAATTAAAGCACTTATGAGACATATACATATAGGAATAAAGTCAATAAATGAAATTCTTGAAATCTGTAAAAACTTTTTACTTAAGATATTTATTTCAAATATTAGCTGGTGTTTTAGTAACAGTTCACTTTTCTGCCGATTACATTGATTTTGTATCTTTTTTATACACTAGAAAACATGCAATACACACGAAAAAAAGATGTTTACCAAACGTTTTTGAAATTTAGAAGGTCATATATACGGATACAAAATAAATGAAGATGTAATTTCTCTAATTGAAAAAGCCATAGCAAGTTCTTTGATTGGTTACATAAGGTGCAAATTCTTATGCAAACATTTTTATTCGTGGTTTCCTTTTGGGTGAATATCAGCTTGTGTCCCTTTTCACTGCATTTCCCGACGAAAACAACTGGTAATAACTATAGTTATATATATATATATAACAGTTGCAGATAATTATTCCTTTGTTGGTTAATTAACCTCATATTTTTTTAGTTGAACAAATAATTACGGATAAATCCTGCATTCAAACAAAGTGTAATTAAAACTATTAAAGTTTCCAAGTGCTGGTTAATCAAACCAATCATCGGTCTTTATAACATTTCTACGGCTGAATGCATTTTATTTATGTTATATTTAAAAAAAAATCAAAATCATCTCAAAATGTTTTATATCTTTAAAAAAATGATAACTTTTACAAATATATGATACGAAATAGTAAACATGTATCTAGTCCACGAGGTACGAAATGGTAGATGCATTTGGCCCATAGGGTACGAAATGGTTTCTATCGTGGGTACGAAATGGTAAATGTTGGGTACGAAATGGTAATTTTGGGTACGAAATGGCAAAAGTACGAAATAGTCAAGGTACGAAATGACTTGCTACCATGGGGAAAATCTTGATTCAGAATAATTTTTTTTTGTCATCTGCTTAACCACAATATTTTTTTTTCATCAAATTGGGGATCAAAATATTTTTTTTATGAAAAAATCATAAGCCCCCTCCCCTCTTGAAGTTAAATGGTCGTTGCATTATTCAATGTATTCCTTCGATATTGTGTGAACAATAGATTTGCATTACAATCATCTGAATCAGATAACAATCTTTCCACAGCATTTTTGATTGATTTATTGTTGGTGTTTAATGTCACTTTCAGCACTCTCTGACTATATCCGGGCGGTCAGTTTTTATTTGTAGTGAAATCCAAAGTACCTGGAGAAAACAACTGACCTTCTGCAGAAATACTGGCAATCCTAGTCAATTGACATCAGGTCAAATGTATGTACCGTTTAAAAAAGGATTCAAACTTACAACCTCAGTATAGGCAGGCTAGTGATTACTGTAAGGAACTATTCACTATGCCAATAAGGCCTGGCATATTTTGATGCAAAGTACAAAGCTAATACTTTAAGAGAACGTCCATAAATTTGATGTTTGATACTAATGAACTGTACAGTGACCTATAGCTGTTAACTTCTATGTCATTCGGTCTCTGGTGGAGAGTTGTCTCATTGGCAATCATACCACATCTTCTTATTCTAATATAATCTTTAGCTTAATACAATATAATTAAATAACCTAGTGATCACAGATATCTCCTCCTGCAACATAACTCTGAAACGGTCAAAGTTCACTATCAAAAGCAAGTTTGACCTGTAAATTACGGTCTGTGACATCCTTGTGTTTAAATTCAAAAAGAACATTAGTAGTACTTTAATCATCATCTAGAAACCAAACAAATTCAAATGTTTAAGACAACTAAAGGGCATTATTCTTGAATGGTAAATGTCAAAATCATCAAAATTAAAATTTGACCAGTATTATATGGACTACAAAATTGCATTCAAATTCTAAAAGATTTGGTTTACTCTGAATTATCATCCAGCAACCAAAAGTGTGCAGACTGATGAACGTACATGTGACTCACAAAAACCTAACCTCATTCAGGCTGCCGTATAATTAATTTGATGGATTGTTACAGTTCCATCATAAAGGTAAAGAAAATTATTACTTCTGACAGAAATTAAAACCAACAGTTGTCTTAAAAATTTAATCATAATCAATAATAAATTCCTTTTATAAAGACATTGTAGTATTTATTTTTCTTTGTTTAAAATGAAATACCATTATATATTACACATTTTAAAGCAATCACAATTTCAATATTTCATAAATTGCAAATTTAAAAAGCCTTAGACGAGAAATTGTCAGAGGTAAAATGGAAAAATAATTATAAGATTTGTATGCCGTTACTGTAAATTCAGAAAATTTTGACATGTTTTTATTATAGCGAAAAATTATGACAGGATAGGGTTTTCAAAAATAAAACATTGCAATTCATATGTGTATGCAATATCTTCTGAAATTGCAATAACTAATCTTGCATTTGTGTCCGCAATAATAAAATGCACATTAAAAATTTCTGAATTTACAGTTTTGTGTTTGTCTGTCATTGAAGGAAATAAAATATCTTCCAGTAATTTGAAAGTGTGATAACAGAAAACCACTGACTGCACAGACCAAATATGATTGGTTTGCAAAGGTCATTTAGTTAACTGGCACAATTTTAAATAAACTGAGGTCAAGTCTTGGTACTAGAAATCCAGGTATACTTCTTCACAAAGAATACAACTAATGCACATGTAAATCTTGTAAATGCTTGTGAAACAGTACTGATTGAGCCATTAGTAAACACAAATTTTATTTTCAAATAGTTCAACATTTCAGCTTTTCATAGATATACTATAAATAAATAACAAAGCTTTTCTATTTAATTCTTCCCAGTATCTGGTGTGTAATTGAAAAAAAATAAAATATTGTAAGATACTTCAGAGGGTGTTGATTTGTTGAAAATACTTATTTCGATGCAAATTTGAAATACTCAATATATAGAATAGAGATGACATTTAAAAAAGATGCAATACAGATCTTCTAAAAAAACAATTTGCCTTTTCATAATCTAAGAAAAAAATGAAAATAACATCACATCATTGGTTAAATTTCCATTGTTTGGGATATATTTTAACCAATCACAACACTTTTGGAAAATATTACCCAGAGTGCTTAGATTCTGAAAAGACGATCTGGTTCTTGCCATTTCATTCAACATAATTACCATTTTAAAACCATTCATTAAATTTGAACAAAATCTCAGTGATACAAATGCACAAATATATTAGAGGAATTAAGAGACTGTGGATTTATTATTATGTGTGGTATATCAATTATCTTAGATATTGTGGGTCAACCATGAATTCAAATGTTCCATGAAGTAAGTATTTTATATACATATTTTATATATTTTTTAGGATGTATACTGAATTTGGAAATCCACAAAATTAAATACCAACAAAACTGCAAGTTTTCCTGAATCCATGAAAATGAATGAATCTACAGTAACAGTTCTCAAACATTCTCAACATATTTTGGAAGGAGGATTAAGTCTCATAAAAATTCTAGACAGGCATTTTATCTGCCAAAAAAATATAAATAGTAATTTCCTAAAAAGCAAAATTGAAAAACCAACTATTTGTAAGCATTTTAAAAGAAATTTGTCAAGGTCTTTTCACACCTACTGTAAAACAGGGAACAAAACAGGCCAAATAGAATAAAAATAAACAAGAACTAAAACACTCTGATGAAGGGATAGGAACAAAAAAATTGCACATATGGAAGGTAACTTTTTCAAGTTTCGTGGGGCCGAGAGGTCGAAGTACTTCATTTATTGTATCACTATAGCCAGTCAACACTGAGATTGTAAGTTCTTACCCGTTATATGGCAGGTGCATCTAACTCATATCTTAATTGACTAGGATTTTACTTTTTCTGATAAGTGGTTCCCTCTGGGCACTCCGCCTTCCTCCACCAATAAAATCTGACTGCCACGATATAGCCAATAGTACTGATAATGGTGTTAAACACAAACAATCAATCAACCAACAGATCAAGTTTCCAAGTAATTCAACAAATATTAAATGTTCATTGATTTCCTACATTGCTTGCTCTGACAGTAAATCAACAAGAAGAAAAAGACAAAAAATGATTGCATACTACTCCTGTTATACTTTCTTACATATAACAAAATCTCCATAGGAGAATTGTTACACAATACATTTATAATACTTTCTATATGATGTCCGTTTCCTTTATCAGATCAAAATAATTTTACAAAGACTAGCACATCTGGCTTAATATATTACACTGTGTTTACAAATACCACTGAAAGTTCTTTGTCTCTTTACAAAATAGAATTAATGATTTACCCCTGTAGTAGGGTAGGAAAAAAAAATTAAATGCCCCCTTTTTGACTAGTGTGCGACATAGCCTACAATTTTTTATTTATCATCATCACATATTTTTCGGGCTACTGTTAGCATGATTAGTAACAAACAGGGTAAAATATTTATCATAAATGTTTTTTTAACAAATGATTTATCAGTATTCACCTTATGGGAAACCCTATTCCTATAAATAGATGGAAAGTTTTGAAAATCTGAAATTGATTGACTAATGTTCTATTGAGAACTTTTAAAATACTACTTTACCAGTATCCACCTTATCGGAAACCCCATTCCTATAAATAGACAGAATGAGTCTGATACTGATTGACTCATGTTCTATTGAGCACAATGCCACAAAGCACTTTGTACTTTAATTCATCTTTATTCAGATAATGAACATTCAATGGTATTTTCAAACACAGTGTATATTATGTACACACAATACCCTTGTTAGGGCTGCTTAAATGCCCTAAAAACCAAAGTCTCCAAAAAGTCTGTATTGCTCAATTTTTAAACTTGACAGCAATAGAAACATCCACATCATATGGATAGTTATTTCACTGGCAATTATACCACATCTTCTTAATTTTATATTTCAAATATAGACTACACAATTTTAAAAAAAATCATTAATCTTAGAGTTTTTACCCTATGTTTTGTTTTAAAAAGTAAAAGCCATGAACTGGAAGCTCAGTACTTTAATATACAATGGATTCATTATTATTTGTGGAATACAAATTATTGTGTATTTAGTTGGTAAAAGTGGACCACAAATTTAAATATTCAACGAAATACTAATTTTCTAGAGGCTTGTATGCAGACTTTGGCAAAACCACGAAATCAAATATCCACAAAAATCCAGTTTCTCCTCAATCCACGAAAAATTGGTATCCAATAAAATAAACGAATCCACAAGTACATGTATAAGACCTAATTTTCAAACATATACATATTCATGCATTGAAAATGAATGTAGTCAAGGTTGGTTTCAAATGGCACAATATTTTAAGAGACCATTTTTGTTGAAAGATAATGGGTAATGACAGACGCTAAGTGACGGTAATAGCTCTAATTGGCCATTAGGCCAAGTAAACTTAAAACAAAGACAAAACAAAAACTATCATACACAAATCCAATAAAATATGAAAGACAAAATTGCAAATGTTTTGACAATCATTCACAGCATTAAATCATTGATCTATGACCTTTTCACAGTTCAAGGTCATACAACTGCTGCACCACAGCCAGCTCGACTCACAATCATATTACTTAAGAACACCCATCTATCTACTTCAGTGTCATAGACTTCAGCACTGCGGAGTCGATTAGTTCCATCAAATCCACCCAGGATATAAATACGTCCATCAAACACGGCAGCACCTGGCCAAGCTCTAGGTGTATTCAGAGATTTTATAGTTGTCCACTGATTAGTAAGCGTATTGAACCTGTAAAACAAATAATATAAAATAAGATGTGTTTTGATTGCCGATGAGTCAACTATCCACCAGAGACCAAATGATGTTAGCAACTATAAGTTCATTAATAAGAATAAGACAATGACATCAAAACCTGGAAGAAAATATTTATTTGTTTTTACAGAATTGTCTCTTTAGTTACACTGTTGTGTGATCTTCAAGTTTTCAGTGTGATTCTTCAAAAATTGAATTTTTCATGACCTTAGACAAGAAATTTATTCCTAAGATTCCCAATTATGTTAAATAAAAACCCAGCTCTGTTGCATAAGATGAGGTATTCAATCTTTCAAATTAGCATTGGGAATAGTAAATGCTTGTTTTGATATTACTTCAAAATTTTCTTCAAGAATGTATGTTTAACAAACTTCAGGTTTTTTTTAGAAGAAATTACCAGACAGTTCATACTAAATGATCAACCTTTGATATTGGGAGAAACCCTATACTGAGAGAAATGTAAAATGTCCTCAATTTCAGAAGAGTTTAGGCTTTCATCTAAGTCCTCTATAACCTTGGCATGAAATCAAAGGTGGATATATTAAGTTTGAAATGTCCCAATTAGTTTTGTAAAAGATACCCTGTTTAGTTCAGCAGTATGGATATATCTTATTATTATATACTTAGTAGTAAATACATGTAAATTGTTTGTGTAATACGATCTATGACAATCATGCTGTATCAACCATCTGTGATGATATCGATATCAGTCACGGTTGCAAAGGCTTTATCACACCCTTAATCAGTATGACATCACATCATCGACATCAGTCAACGTTGCAAAGGCTTTATCAAACCCCTAATCTGTATGATGTCACGTCACAAGAAAAAAACAACATCTTCTTGAGATATATAATAAAAGTGTATATGATATATAGATATAAGAAGATGTGGTATGAGTGCCAATGAGACAACTCTCCATCCAAGTAAAAAAAATTTTATGGCTTTTTCAATATCACACACCGTATCAACCCTCAACCAATATAATCCCTTGAGCAGAGCTCTTGGGATTATATTGGTGTCTCAGGCTGATACGGATGTAATATTGAAAAAAACCATATAACATTCTCTATATACTGTCAAAGATATTAACTTTAATTTGCACTTAATATGCCGAAATTATATTCTGTGTGCAGAAATGGTATGACATATGTTGGAAAGCTACACACATTTTTCCTTGCATTTGGTCAACTATGGACCCCTTTAGACTAATTACAGAGATTGATGAAAGAATATAGACTTTTGGACTGTCTTCTCAGTCCATATACTTACAATAGGTATATAAAAACAAGTGTTGACCAAAATGGCAATGACTGCATAATGTAAACAACTTTACGTTACAGACATTCCCTTATTTTATAATAATACATTGTAGTAGTTTATATTCCATATTTGCCTCTCCTTCCCCATTGAAGTCTGAAATATCAAAATTTGTCTCCATTTCCCAACTGAATCCTTTACCTTTCTGACAGGTCAAAGTATTGATCCCTATCCTTGTATCGTCCACCAAATGCATAAATAAAATGTTCTATGGCCACTAAAGCAAGTCCAGATCTGGCTTTCTCCATCTCAGAAACAAATGTCCATTCCTCTGATAAAGAATCATAGCATTCAACACTAGCACGATCCATATGTAATGCTCTGTCAAATCCTCCTACAAAAACAAGTAACATGTGTAATGGTCTGTCAAATCTTCCTACAAAATCAAGTATCATGTGTAATGCTTTGTTAAATCCTCCTACAAAATCAAGTATCATGTGTAATGCTCTGTCAAATCTTCCTTCAAAATCAAGTATCATATGTAATGGTCTGTCAAATCCTACAAAATCAAGTATCATGTGTAATGCTCTGTCAAATCTTCCTACAAAATCAAGTATCATGTGTAATGGTCTGTCAAATCCTACAAAATCAAGTATCATGTGTAATGCTTTGTCAAATCCTACAAAATCAAGTATCATGTGTAATGTTTTGTTAAATCCTCCTACAAAATCAAGTATCATGTGTAATGCTCTGTCAAATCTTCCTACAAAATCAAGTATCATATGTAATGGTCTGTCAAATCTTTAAAAATTAAGTATCATGTATAATGCTCTGTCAAATCTTCCTACAAAACCAAGTATCATGTGTAATGGTCTGTCAAATCCTACAAAATCAAGTATCATGCTCTGTCAAATCTTCCTACAAAATCAAGTATTATGTGAAATGCTCTGTCAAATCCTACAAAATCAAGTATCATATGTAATGGTCTGTCAAATCCTACAAAATCAAGTATCATATGTAATGGTCTGTCAAATCCTCCTACAAAATCATGTATCATATGTAATGCTCTGTCAAATCCCCTTACAAAAACAAGTAACATGTGTAATGCTCTGTCAAATCATCTTACAAAATCAAGTATCATGTGTAATGGTCTGTCAAATCTTGCTACAAAATCAAGTATCATGTGTAATGCTCTGTCAAATCCTTCTACAAAATCAAGTATCATGTATAATGCTCTGTCAAATCTTCCTACAAAATCAAGTATCATGTGTAATGGTCTATCAAATCCTATAAAATCAAGTATCATGTGTAATGCTTTGTCAAATCCTACAAAATCAAGTATCATGTGTAATGCTTTGTTAAATCCTCCTACAAAATCAAGTATCATATGTAATGCTCTGTCAAATCTTCTTACAAAATCAAGTATCATATGTAATGGTCTATCAAATCTTAAAAAATCAAGTATCATATGTAATGCTCTGTCAAATCTTCCTACAAAACCAAGTATCATGTGTAATGGTCTGTCAAATCCTACAAAATCAAGTATCATGCTCTGTCAAATCTTCCTACAAAATCAAGTATTATGTGAAATGCTCTGTCAAATCCAACAAATTCAAGTATCATATGTAATGGTCTGTCAAATCCTCCTACAAAATCAAGTATCATATGAAATGCTCTGTCAAATCCTCCTACAAAAACAAGTAAGTGTAATGCTCTGTCAAATCATCTTACAAAATCAAGAATCATGTGTGATGCTCTGTCAAATCTTGCTACAAAATCAAGTATCATGTGTAATGCTCTGTCAAATCCTCCTACAAAAACAATTATCATGTGTAATGCTCTGTCAAATCATCTTACAAAATCAAGTATCATGTGTAATGCTCTGTCAAATCTTGCTACAAAATCAAGTATCATGTGTAATGCTCTGTCAAATTCTCCTACAAAATCAAGTATTATGTGTAATGCTCTGTCAAATCCTACAAAATCAAGTATCATGTGTAATGCTCTGTCAAATCTTCCTACAAAATCAAGTATTATGTGTAATGCTCTGTCAAATCTTCCTACAAAATCAAGTATCATGTGTAATGCTTTGTCAAATCCTACAAAATCAAGTATCATGTGTAATGCTTTGTTAAATCCTCCTACAAAATCAAGTATCATATGTAATGCTCTGTCAAATCTTCTTACAAAATCAAGTATCATATGTAATGGTCTATCAAATCTTAAAAAATCAAGTATCATATGTAATGCTCTGTCAAATCTTCCTACAAAACCAAGTATCATGTGTAATGGTCTGTCAAATCCTACAAAATCAAGTATCATGCTCTGTCAAATCTTCCTACAAAATCAAGTATTATGTGAAATGCTCTGTCAAATCCAACAAATTCAAGTATCATATGTAATGGTCTGTCAAATCCTCCTACAAAATCAAGTATCATATAAGATGCTCTGTCAAATCCTCCTACAAAAACAAGTAAGTGTAATGCTCTGTCAAATCATCTTACAAAATCAAGTATCATGTGTGATGCTCTGTCAAATCTTGCTACAAAATCAAGTATCATGTGTAATGCTCTGTCAAATCCTCCTACAAAAACAATTATCATGTGTAATGCTCTGTCAAATCATCTTACAAAATCAAGTATCATGTGTAATGCTCTGTCAAATCTTGCTACAAAATCAAGTATCATGTGTAATGCTCTGTCAAATTCTCCTACAAAATCAAGTATTATGTGTAATGCTCTGTCAAATCCTACAAAATCAAGTATCATGTGTAATGCTCTGTCAAATCTTCCTACAAAATCAAGTATTATGTGTAATGCTCTGTCAAATCTTCCTACAAAATCAAGTATTATGTGTAATGCTCTGTCAAATCTTCCTACAAAATCAAGTATTATGTGTAATGCTCTGTCAAATCTTCCTACAAAATCAAGTATTATGTGTAATGGTCTGTCAAATCTTCCTACAAAATCAAGTATTATGTGTAATGCTCTGTCAAATCCTCCTACAAAATCAAGTATTATGTGTAATGGTCAGATTAAATTTCCCCAAAAAGTGAAGTATGATGTGTAATGCTTGGTTAATTCCCATAAAATACCATGCAAAAGATCAGAGAAATCTTCCTTTAAGTCAATTAAGAATTGGTGATATGTAAATTTTTGTTAAAAGCTTCTGAGTCTTCATTGGGTCAAAGTATAAAGACATTGCCAAAGACATAAAAGTTCTCTCATGTCCTAAAAAGGGCATTAGTGAACACTAGCAAATTTGTCACCATACGATACATTAAGGACATGAAATCTTAAGTTTGAGGTAATATTTCAGTGTGTTATAGATGGTATTATATATGCAACACATTCCCCCACCCTCCTCATGTTTAGAGAAAATCCAATAATTATTTTTTCAGCAATAATTTTATATCAGTAGCTGATCCAGGGGCATAGAGGGCGTACCCCTGACCACAAAAAAAAAAAATCTTATGTTTTGTAATACATGTATATATATAATTTTTTAGTATTAAAAATCTGTATATATTCAATTATCGGAAATTACACCCCCTTTTAAAAATCCTGGATTCACCTGTGTATACAATCACCTGAGGATGTTCATTACACATAGATTTGTTTATTTAACAATAGTAACTGACCTGCTACATATATTTTACCATCACACACACAATACCCAGCACCAGATCTTTTTCTCTTCATACTTGGTGCAAATGACCAAGTTTCATTTTTTGTGTCATATTTCTCCACAATGTTATAACTACATGCTCTGTCCTCACCACCTGAAATATAGATATATGTTCTATATATCTACATACAAGTCTTAACTTTTTTAAAGGCCTGGTCCAATTGGTCAGCAATTTTTGTTTTTCATGGTAATGTTTGAAGGGATAGTGATGACTGAGGAGGATTAATTTCAGTCTACAATTTTCTAAAAGGTTATTGTTGTTTTCTTGTTGGGTTGCAAAGATGCCAACCCCCTTTGAGTGCAATCAGTAAAAAGGCATTAATATTTCCGTAATTTGCGTCTTTTTTCAGTAATATTTACGTACAATTTTATAATAATCATATGAACAATGGGCATACAGGGAAGATTGATTGAATAGTGGTTGCTTAACGTCCAGTGGCAAATATTTCATGCATGTACAGGAAGAGAACAAATTGACAATAAATACAAAAGATGGGTCCTTTAGTAGAGGTCGTCCGGGATGAGGGTCAGTAGATATTTACACTGCCACTGGAAAATGAGGATATATGGGATACGAGACAGAAATTTAGAATTTCAACAGGCCACCTACGGATCTATCAAAGTTGTTTCTACGGTTCTAAACGTACACAGTGTGTAGCTCTCTTTCTTCAAGATATATGAATTAATGTTCCCATTCCGACTGGACGTGGCTGCGTACTTGTATATCCACCACAGCAAATCGGACATCACACTATTGCAAGAGTATTACTGCCTATTGGAAGTAAAACCTGTAGTGACCATATTTATTTTCCTCAGTCACCCTTTAGGGCAGCACTAGGTGACAAAGTGATGTCCTTGATTTATCAGAACTAGGATTCAAAATTGATGAGCAAATGAGGAACACTGACCATCGCGCTAAATGGAAATATTTCCTAAAATATATGCAAAAGGTATAATGAATGGTCCGGATTTCTAGGTTTCTTTCTTTGAAATCGAAATTTAAATTGTTCCACCAGATATTGTAAAATTGAAAACAAAGACTTTTTAAGTTCATTAATTATTCAGAACTGAACAAGAAATAGAGATCGTTTTCTACTGGTAGTCCCGATTGATTTTTGGTTGCTTAACGTCCAGTGACAAATATTTCATGCATGTTTGAGGATGAGAACAAAATAACAATAAATTCAATTTAGGTAGGTCTTACAATAGAGGTCGGGAAAATTCGGGCAACCACGGTAAAATGAGGGTATATTTGATTGGGACAGAAATGTAGCCTTGCCACAGGCCACATAAGGACCCTTCGAAGAGTTGTAGCATGGGTTTCAAACGTGCATAAAGCGTGGCACTCTCTAAACACAAGACATCAGATTTAACGTCCTCATTCTGACTGAACGCAGCCGCGTACTTGATACATCCCGCACAACTAAACGGACGCCCCTCTTTGACGAGGGTTATACTGCCGGTCGACAGTGTTAACCATATTTCTATTCCCCAGGTACTTTTAGAAATGAAAGGGGGGGGGGGGGGGGTAGTCCCGAGAAACTCAAAAGGAAAATAACAGTCTGAACCATTCAAGCGCTTACTGTTACACGAAATCAAAAATGAAGCGTCACAATTATCAATTATAGACTGTTAGTCGTAACACCGTAATTTTGGTCCAAAATTCGTAACAATTACGGGAAAATCGTAACGGTTGGCATCTATGGGGTTGATTTTTTTCATTTTTACAAATATTTTTTTAATAAATTTGTTGCAGCACAAAACATACAAGGAGATATTATTGATTTTATAGGCAAACTCAAATTATTTTTGATGTAAGAGAAGAATCAAAAACTTTATAATTGTCATCTGTAATTATTCTTCTTCTAATGAAGGGGCCTCAGTGGCCGAGTGGTCTAAGTAGTTCAAATACTATATCACTGGCTTGTCAACACTTAGGTTGGGAGTTTCAAATCCTCCAAGTGGCAGGTGCATTCGACTTCAATCTTAATGGACTAGGATTGTCAGTTTTCTTACCGAAGGTGGTGGTTTCTGTGGGCACTCCGGCTTCCACCACCAATAAAAAATGAATGCCACGAAACAGCGCAATCAATCTTCCAATGAAGGGGGTTTTGGTTTTTTCCTAAAAAAATATTCTGAATCCAAATTTCCCCATACCGTATAGTGTTAAATTTTGAAAAAAATAATTTGATTGATAAAAAAAATGTTCGTGCTTTGCGCGGAAACAAATTTTCTGACTCAGACAAAAAACCATAAACCCCCCCCCTTTTTTAAGTTAAATGGTTGCTCTCCCTTAGTGACAAAATTGAAGAGAAATTCCTTTGAGATTTTGAAAATCATTTTGTAAATGGCAAAAATGACAAGCGCCAGTGAAATCACAGGACTACATTTTTAATTTTTTTCAAATATGAAGATTTCTTTACCGAAGTGGAACTCTGTACAAACCTATTGCATATAAAAATCTTCCCACTGCAGCCAAAGCTACAAATGATCTTGCTATTTTCATCTCAGGTTTGGCTATCCACTGTCGTAATACAGGGTCATAACATTCCACAGAACGGAGATACAATGTGTTTTCCTGTGAATCAGCTAAAGCACATTCACCTCCAACTGCATATAACAGACCATCCAAGCTACAAACACCAACAGCAGTCCTGGCAATGTTCATGTTTGGCTAGAAATATTAAATGAGCTACATGTATATCATTATATTGACTGCAGGTAAAAGAAACATTGTCTAATGTCATCTTAGAAATTTGGAGAATAAGGCGTTGATTGCAGATTTTTTTTATTTTGTTTGATTTATCTAAAACCTTTATTTAAAGGTCTGAATGGGATTTACAGAATAGAGAATCATGGGCAAAAAGTGCAGAATAAAGGGCAGAAAAAAAAGAGAAAAATAGGCCAAAGAATTAAGAATAGAGAATTATGGAGGGCAAAATTAATAAAGAATAGAGAAAAACAGTTTAAAAAATTAAGAGGATAAAGAAATGAAGACCCCCTCCCCATTCAGACCATCTTTTGTGTTACAGCTTGACATATTGCATGAGCACTTGTCTATCTTTTTAAAAATATTGCATGTTGCCATACAGATTGTGACAATTTTTGTTCTTGGTTTGCTGTCTCTTTGATATAAACCCTAAATGATCTCCTCTAGTTCAACTTCATACATTTTACAAGAAGCACTGCTCTGCTACAAAATATGCTAAATCCCATACTTTTATTACCAGTAACCTTCAAATATCTGAAACTGAGTTTAAACAACTAAATTTTTTTATGCATTTCTTATATCATAGAAATATTTAGCTATACGTTTTTGTGATTTTACAGTCTAAGGAAGGTTATTAAAGAAAAGTGTCTTGCTCAAAGTACTCAGTATCATTCATGTACAATAATGTTGCAATACTTTCACATATGTTTGCCATCTCTTAACCTTGCATCCACAGTATGTACATGATGTACATCAAAGTAGTATTGTATATTCAGAAATTATTGCGTGCGTTTATTAAGGCGATTTTTAAGAAATGGACAAAAATGTGAGAAAAATCATTACGATTTCAGGAAAATTTGCACACAGATATATGTATCAGATATCAGAATGCGAGTTCCTATTATTGCAATATTCACCAAGTTGCATTATTCGCATTGATAAAAACCTTGCAATAATAACGTTGAAGACTAATTGCACATGACAAATAATTTCAGAAGTTTTTTTTTGGCATATACAGGCTTTGCTCATTGTTGAAGGCTGTACAGTGACCTATAGTTGTTAATTTCTGTGTCATTTGGTCTCTTGTGGAGAGTTGTCTCACTGGCAATCATACCACATCTTCTTATTTTGATATAGTCTAAAAAGATAAACTATAAAAAAATTATGCACTGTAACAAGTTTAATATAAAGATTAATTAGATTAATGAATTAAAGCCTAAAACATACCACAGAATGCCACTGGTCAATTAAGAAATCATATCTCTCCATGCTTTTTAACTGGCAGTCTGTACTATTTCTCCCACCAACAACATATACACATGGAGGCTGGGCACGAGGTGTCATCAAGTCTAAAGCTGACTGATCATAATGCAAAGCAATAGCATTACCAATCAACTGTTGACATTTTAAACAATTTTTTACAAAATCTAACTTTAGAACAATATTTTCTAAATGTGTCATGTCTATCAATGCTAGTTTAACATATTGTAAGATATGACAAGCATTTCTAGTTCTGATTTCCGGTTCTGCATTGATCCAACTCAACGCAGCTTCTAGCACCTGGTTTTCACTCGTGACTTGAAGTTTATCACTACGTAACAACGTAATTAGTCTATCTTCCGACAGCTGTAAAAATTCCTCAGAATGAATGACATCTAAAAAGTTTTGAAATATGAACTGTCGTGCTGCCATCTCAAGTTCTCCACACATATACAGGTCTGCTAAAAAGTAGATTCCTGTAAAATAACATTACCAGTTATACTATAAATAGACATAAAATGTTACCCATATGTTGGTAGTTATTGTTTTCATTTGTATCAGTGTATTCCATGATAAACGTTTTCATTTGTATCAGTGTATTCCATGATAAATGTTTTCATTTGTATCAGTGTATTCCATGATAAACGTTTTCATTTGTATCAGTGTACTCCATGATAAACGTTTTTATTTGTATCGTACAGTGTACTCCATGATAAACTAGTAAGTCTAATATTTTTGGCAATGTCTATCATATGCATTCTTAGAATACAGTAAATTGGGGACTAGTAATTGTTAATCAAGTATACAGAAATGACAGCTAAATTGTGTGATACACTGATAGTGTCAAATATGTGAAAATATAGAAAGGTCCTGTATATGTAATGTACATACAAACATATTAAGAAATTTACACATACATGTAGTATTTATTGTACATGTACATATATGCATTTATTTATAGTTTATTTAAATTCAGATTCAGTGTACACCATACAATTTGAGAATTGAAGTATCTGTAATCAAACATGTCAAAGTTAAAACTAATCAAACCAATAGTTTGCTCATAAACAAAACATACAGCACTGTCAAAGTCAGAGGTTATGACCTTACCAAGGCAATTCAAGGCTGTTAACTGAGACTGTAGAAATGTAGCAGACATCTTCCTCAACTGATGAAGACCCAGCATACTAGCACCTTGTAGTATTCCTTGTACATTATCTACTGTTATTTCTATCATACTAGTGTACATAAACTCTATTAACTGTCCCATAGAACAGGGATCCAGTCCTTGGATATCCACTCGCTCCTTTTCTGTTTCCAACATTCCATTTGTAAACATGGCACGTAAATATGGACTACATCCGCAAAGTACGATTTTATGAGCATCGAAGTCCTGACCTTCCACAGTGATTGTGACATCACACAACATGTGACGTTCACGAAGTTCATGCATCACTGTAAAAGCACTTTGTGCTTGGGATGGAACTGTGAAAGTTCTTGACTCTATCATGTTTGTATATTGGACTTTTTCTTATATGATTGGATCATTCTGTCATGTGTCTTAAAGAGAACTAGTCACCACATGTGCTATTCTATTCTACATCCTGGTTTCTTATGACATTTACATCTCTAACATCAATATCCTGAAACAGATGAGCATAACCATGGTAACATAAAGTGATTAATAAACTTTTTAGTTGTTATTGGCTTTGAAATATCTTATAGTGTGTCTTTCTATGTTATAATTAATGTTATACTACTGTCAGTCAGGGGTACTACTTATATAAGTTATTTTTATTTACTTGTAGAAGTAAATAATAATATACTTATATAAGTAAATTTGTTGTATTCATATTTTCTTATAAAATTTGAATAATCTCCCCTAATTTTCTCAAAAAATTTACTTGTATGAGTAATTCTTTTTTTACAATCCCTAAAATCACTGAAAATTCTCAAGTTTTGGGATGTAAAACATGCCTTTAACAATTTTTCTCTGGTTAGCTCATAATTTTTTATTAGAGTTCAACCTTTCATCTCATTAATTCAACAAAAAAACTAATTGCACAAAGATCTTAAGTATTTACCCAAGGCCTTCAAAAATTGCCCCTTGGAGGCTTGTAAATGAGCAGTATTTTGAAGATAACAGACAGATGAGATTTTCATTGTCCATGAAATTGTGCTTAAATGATTAGTTAAGACATCTGCAAAGGACAGACAATTAAAAACTCTATAAGAGCAAAGAAGACCTGAGAAATTCAAGAAAAGCAGAAAGTATGACTTTGTTACTTGTATATGTAAATAAAATGCCAGAACTCTTAAGTGTAAAATCTAAAATTTATAAAAATTGAAAGGGAGCTTACATCAATAGATATAAACAATTCTCCAAAGTTTCATGAGAACTGCTGAAAGCATTTTTAATTAATTGTCCGAAAACTGGAAAATCCCCCTTTTTTTAATGAATAAAACTCCATAACTCGGAAACATAAAATCTAAAATTTATAAAAATCAAAAGGGAGCTCATGTCAATAGATATAAACAATTGACCAAAGTTTAATGCAAATTGGTGAAAGCATTTTTGAGTTATTGTCCGAAAACTGGAAAATCCCCCCTTTTTTAATGAATCAAACCCCATAACTCAGAAACTTAAAATCTAAATTTTATAAAAAAAGAAAGGGAGCTCACATCAATAGATATGAACAATTCACCAAAGTTTTATGCAAATTGGTAGAAGCGTTTTTGAGTTAATGTCTGACATGTTGACGACAGACGGACAGACAATGGTATACCATAATATGTCCTGTAAACGGGCGTATAAAAAAGTCTAAATGTCAAAGGGACATAACTAATCCATTAAAATAATTTACCTATACAAGTAAATAAAATACACTTGTATAAGTATCTAACAAATTTACTTATATATAAGTATATTAATATTTACTTCTTCAAGTAGTACCCCTGACTGTTTCAGGTTAGGGTGAACATGGTGAAGGTTGGTACCTGTTAAAACATTTAAAGCCGCTGCATTTGTTTGCAGCTGTCCTAAGTCAGGAACCTATTGTTCAGTGGGTGTCGTTTGTTGATGTGGTTCATAAGTGTTTCTCATTTCTCGTTTTTTATATAGATAAGACCGTTTGTTTTCCTGTTTGAATGGCTTTACACTAGTCATTTTTGGAGCCCTATATAGCTTACTGTTTGGTTTGAGCCAAGGCTTTGTGTTAAAGGCCATACTTTGACCTATAATGGTTTACTTTTTACAAATTGTGACTTGGATGGAGGGTTGTCTCATTGGCACTCATACCACATCTTCTTATATCTATATAGTTACCGAGAATACTCTCTTATCTGTACTTTGTGTCATTTGTGTTTTGTTAAGTTTTTTTGTTGTTGTGTGTTCTTATGTTGTACTTTTACACCACTGTCCCAGGTTAAGGGAGAAGGTTTGGTGCCAGCAAAATTTAATATGTTTTACCACATTCTGTATGTCCCTGCCCAAAGTAAGGAGCCTGTAATAATGGTTTTGTACATAAATCAGGCTGTTAAGATTTCTTGTTTGAATTGATTTACATTTGTCATTTTATGGGGCTTTTATAGCTTGTCATGCAGTATGGGTTTGGCTTATTGTTGAAGGCTGTATGGTGACCTGTAGTTGTTAGCTTTATGTCATTTGGTCTTTGGTGGAGTTGGAGAGTTGTCTCATTGCAGTCATTGGCAAACATACCACATCTTATTTTTCAATTTGACAAATCCACAAAATTGAATATCCCCGAAATATATAATTTCCTCAATCCAGTCATGACAGTATTACATTTGTTGTAAGGGAATGACCATTTAACTTCAGCTTGTGGTCAAGCAGGTGACAAAAAAAATATTCTGAAGAGATTTCCCCATATATATACCTTATAGTGTTAAATTTGAAAAAAATAATTTGATTGATAGCGTTGAAAAACTATAAAAAAAAATCTACTCAGACAGAAAACCATCACCCCCTCCCCCCCCCCCTTGAAGTTAAATGGTTGCTCCATAATGAAAACCCATATGAAATTCAAATTTATATTTTCACTTCTCTGATGACAATTTATATAAACATTGTCAAATTTGCTTATTTTAGATTCATTATTATTTGTGGGGAGCTTTATTGCGAGGGTTTATTTCATGGCAGTTAATTCTACAAAAATATAATAAAAATTGAGTTTTTATAAAGGAGTCAAGTGGAAACCGTCCTAACTCAGACTTTGCATATATATTATATGAGGTTTTTTTTAATTCCAAGAACAGTTTTACAAAATTAATGATGCACTTTCTCAATGCTGAATCTATCTGTCAAAGATAAAATATCACAGTTAGCATGGTTAGTTCCATGCATTTTGGCTATGTTCATGGCTCTAAAAATTGAGTAATAATCTTCCATAAACCAAATTTCGCTATTATATAAAATTATGGGTTTAATTAGTGAATCAAATAATTTGCATGATAAATCTACAGGGACATGATGAAAATTAGACATATTAGGCCAGAGAACACAGTTATTTCGTAGTGCATTTCTTTTAGACAATAAATTCAAATTAAAAAAATCGCACCTGCTCTATCTCAAAAAGATTTTTACAGTGTATTGTACTACTATTGATACAAATAATATCAAAATTATAGAAACTTCTACCAGCTCTAACTCAAAATATTGACAATTCTATGTTAAGGGGGGCTAAAATTCAGTTTGACAGCTTCAGACATTCTAATTTTTGACCTTTTTTAACTGGACCAAATCACTACTTAACATAAAGATTCAGCACCCCAATTTTTTAGCATGTAATTTCATCCCCTTACTTAATATTTCATGCAGAAAATATCAAGAAATAAATTGGAAAAGTGTATAAAAAAAAATGCAAGTTATACACTGTTCACACTAGGGACTATATTCGTAGACAACGAAAACCTAAGGACGATATAAACTGTGTCCTTGGACCATATATTTATTTAGTGAAAATAACACTTCTAGCATGTCTAGTGCTTTCTTGGATAGTTCATGTGTGGATCTCTTAAATCTTCCTTTATTATCAACAATGTTCCCAAGAAAATTATAGTCTTTTAACTTCAGTTAACTGATTTTGTTTATAGAAAAATTTTGACTCAAAAAGAATATATAATAAGGTTTACAGACTGGTTTATATTATTTCAAATTCAACTAATTGTCTGTAGTAAATCTTAGCAACCAGTGGCAAATATTGCATGCATATTCAGGTCAATTTTCAAATAAGAAGAAAAATTTTACATAAAATATTGAAAAATGAATAATCATGATAATTCAAGTTACCAAGTTATGAGATACCATCTTAATCGTTGTCAATTTTGTTAGGGGAAAATGTCAGTGTCATTATTAAACATGTTAAAAAAATAACTTTTTGGAGCAAAACATTTTCCAAAACAATGGGAAATTACCATCATACATATTTAAATATTAAATACTGATTTATTCCATTATTATATACATGTATCTCAAAGATAATCTTCCAGAATGGGTATTTTTGTAGTAAAATTGAGGACATGCACATTTTTACCTATCTGTGGACTTTTTCAACTGGATAAAATATTATCTTTAACTCTCTTTTTGTCAAAGAGGCACATGTGTCCATATCTTTAATTATGTAAGTTTTGTATCATTGATGTATTGCCATATATCTCTTTCAAATAAAATACCAGACTAAACCGTGTTATATTTGTCTTCAATGGGTTCCCAATGTTACATCATAAGGGCATGAAATCACATATCAAATGATGTCATTGTTGGGCATGTGATGTCACAAATGTCCAGCTGTCGTTTTTTCTGGCACACGAAATGCAACCCTATAATATCAACTGCTCAAGCGGGTTAACAGGTTGGGCTCAAGTCAGGAAAAGTGGGGTATTCCCTGTTTTCAGGGATCACCCCAGTTTTCTGGTGTTAAAAAAACCCAGTTTACAGGGACTTCCTTTTTCTATTTCAATTTATAGCATGAAATTTACAAAAGCGCATGTTTTAACTGTATCAGTAGTATTTGTAAATACTTTAAGTATTTCAGGAACAACAAAACATGAATAAGTGAAGCCTTGTTTTTTCTAGAACTCAAAAACATACAAATCTTTTGTTTAGGAATCAGTTGATCAAGCTGCATGCTCCAGGTTAACTGATCATAACTGAATTATGTTCACTTCTTTTGAAAATTTCTATTCATGGAATTTAAATGCTTAAGTGATTAACTTATCTTTTAGTCTTCTCATAATTGATGATCAAGGTATGAATTGGTGAACAAAGGAATTGTTTTGTTGTGAGTTGAGCATAAAATAAGACTTGAAATTAGCTTGATTTTTGAACTTATAAAAACACTTGCTATCATATAACATTGTTATCACACGTAGAAGGTGTGCTTTTGTAGATTCATACCATAAATTGACAAGGAAAAATGAAGTCCCTGTTTACTGGGGTTTTTTAACACCAGAAAACTGGGGTGTTCCCTGAAAACAGGGAATATCCCACTTTTCCTGACTTGAGCCCAACCTGGTTAATTGTGTAACCATTCACTTTTTATATTAGCAATCTGTGACCTCCAAAACATTTTTGCCATGACCAGTTCATTACTTACATCAGGAATAATGAATACGTACACATGGTACAGGTAAAATTGGAGGAGTACACATTTATATTTGTCTGACTGTCAGACAGACTAAGAGTGAGAAAACTGGAGATAAGAAAATAGTATTTTTGTCGGATCCTTTTTGTCTAACAATCGAAACTCGTCGCAGATTGCTACAAAAATGGACAGACATCTGATTTATCGAAGATGGTGAATTTGCATCATACACCAATAGCTATTTGACATTACCAGTATTTCAATTACAATGTTTATAAAAAATTTCTTTGCGAGTTTGTCTGGGTTTGTTGTCAAATTTCTTACACTTCCGGTTAAAAAGGAGTTATCTTTCTTTGAAAAACAACCAGAGGCTCCTGTGTGTTTTCTAAATTCGTGCACGTGTTTGTCAAAAAATTAATTAATTTGGCACCTTACCAATGTGTCCATACTTGTTTTTGGGGATGAGTTGGGGGTTAAATAAATTATCTGATTCAGAATTTATTTTTTAACACAAATTTATTTCGGAAGGAAAGTAAAAAAACAAAAAATGTGTTCAATCGGAAAACTGAGACTACTATAACATGTATAACCTGGGACTATTATAGTAAATATGTTAGTACTAATAGTCCAAGCTATAACACATATGTCATATAGTAGTCTAAGATGAAAACAAGGATTTGTATAGTAAGACTATATAAATCCTTGAATAAAATTATTATGTCTGTGGGTACATATTAACAGCTACACTCAGTCAAGGATTTCTAAAGTGAGATTCTCACTATACAAATCATTGACTCAGTACAGCATTGACTTTCAAACTTGATTATATTCCAAGAATATTATGTTTATTTTTTTTAAATTCAAGTTGAAAAGATTCTACATCAAGTATAGTCTCTGTCCCGAGTAGAAAAAAAAACGAACACCCCACTCGATCAGTATCCTCCCCAAAAGAAAGAGGACGGTTGTGCCTTGGTCGTGTTTATATTAGATTAACTTAAGGTAAGTTCTCTGACTACCCCCTCCCCCCACCACCGAGTCGTCAGTGGCGGATCTAGAAATTTTCATAAGGGTAGTGAGCACTGACAGCTGAAGAGGGGACCCGCTGCAGTCATGCTTCAGTGATTCCCTAAATGATCAACCAAATTTTTCCCACAAAAGGGGGGCCCGGACAACCTGCCCCCCCCCCCCTAAATCCGCCTCTGCTCGTCCCTATGCACTTAAATAAAAATTAACTTGTGCCACAGAAAAGAATTATTCCAATCTCGATCCGGGGTCCACTGATAAAAGAGTGTCAATGCCGCTGTAAAAAGAGTGTCAGAAATGACTTTAATTAGGTGCGGATTTGACTTTTTCTATAGGTGCCGATTTGATTTACCCCGGGTCTAGCTGTGCCTTGCAATGAGTATACAATTCATCGACTGGTTGGAAATGATATGTACACACGTTTGAAATTTAGTAGATACATTCAAAGTAACCAAATATATTCTCTTTTTACATGTTTTACTTGTTAACAACCTTTTGACATGTTTACTGTATAGGAGGTTCTGGTTTTGGGGGTTTCGACGAATCTGGAATTATTACACTTTTTATAATAATCCCAGACAGAAGAGAGATCATACTGTAAAAAAAATTAATAGACAAATATGAGAAACTTGAAAACAAAGAATAAACAATAATTGGATGAAAAAAAAATAATAAAAACTGTGGAAAGTAAAATAATTAGGATATAACAGAAATGAACGATGTATATATTATATCAAATATTATTGGATGCCGAATTGACCAAATAAATGCCGAATTGACTTTAAATAGGTGCCGCCGGATTTGACCCGATACTGATTTAACCAGGTGCCGATTTGCCTTTTCTATAGGTGCCGATTTGACTTGTACCCCGATGGACCGAATAAATAAACCATCTAATTAGATAAAAATTAAATAGCGAAATCATTTTCATGAGAATTATACAGAATTAGCGTTTATTATTTTTAAATAAAGAAAAATGCCCTATAATTTAATGAACAGTGAAATTAAGGAACCCCACCAGGACATTCGAATAGACAATTGAATGTTGATCTTTTTTTTCACTACACCGTGCACTTTTCGTTAATACTTTTTTCTGTAATAGATTTTAAATAACATATATAGTGCATGTATCCTGATCTATCAAATTTAAAATACGCATGTTCATAATTTTAATCCAGTTTCATTTTTCTAGGCATGGTGTCGCCTCTCGAATTTGTCCACAGCTTCATCAAGATCTAGGTCTAAATCTAACTGGCTTTCTTTGATTGCACACAAGAATGTTCTTAAAAGTCCTAATTCACTATTTTGCATACTGCAAATTCGCAGCTAGTCACACTCATGGTCAAAACTATTTCATAAAAAAAAAAAAAACACGATTCATATATTTTAGAAACTAAATTTCCAGGAACTACATGTATATTACTATCAGATTATTGAATGGCAGTTTTCATATCAGATGTATAAGCAACAACATGAACACATGTCATTGTATACAAATGTTTTACTTAAAAGATGATTATATCTATCTCAGCTATACATACATTGTATATACGCAATTTATACTTCGAGTCAATATAGGCCGCTCTATACCAGTAAAATAACCAAACGTTATATTTTTTTTTAGAGATTTCACACTTACAACTGTATGTTTCGTATCGAATGTACCGACAAAAAAGTATTAAAACATTTTAGACATGCAGACAGAAATTTCTGAAATAAGTCAGTGTGTCACTTTCTTAGAGCATGCATATATACACACGTTTTAAAACATTAAGGCATATATCATTTTCTTTTTTTTTCTCAATAATATTTTCACCCGTATGTGTTGCATTTCCCCCATTAAATGCAACGTTAGTGTATGTTTTTCGGAATTTGTCCACAGATTTTTAATTTGTGGTAACGAAATTCCAGACTGAATTATTTACAAGTTGTACAAAGATTACGTTTATATCGATATTTTATGGAAATGCGTTATAAATACTTAGCCACGGAAAGGTTAGGGGAACCAAAACCAAATGTGATATAGATCAGAGACGTATATAAAACAATTGTATTATATGTCTCTGGTGATATATATGTATACATAGCGAAACAAAGGATTTTATAGTGACTTGACTTTTAATTATCGATCGACAAGTATTGGAACTTTTTAATCATAACAAAGGATTATTAATATAAGAGTGTGTGGGTAGGATTTCACTTTATTTATGTAGAGAGCAGTGCAATTGTTCAGACTGGTGGAGGCACCACTGTACATAGATGCAGATCACAATGATTTCTACATACAAATGTATAGTTCTACGAAGGGGGTTAAATATACCTTACGTAAGAGGTAAGGTAAGGTAAGGTTTATGGACATCCAATCTAAATAAAATATAGAACTCTGAATTCGTTACATGCACTCCATATGAGTATAACGAAATCAAAGTTCTATATTTTAATTAGATTGATGGACATCTAAAATGTGACTACAGACACAGACATAGCTAACTAAATTGTAAATATGACATAAGGTAAGAAGTGGCCAAAGGAACATCAACATTGAAAACATAAAAAAAAACATACAAACAGAGAGAGAAAAATAGTCCGTTACACGATTGTTTCTTAAGCTTGTTAGGGTGAAGGATAGCCTATTAAAACGTTTAAACCCGCTGCATTTGTTTGCACCTGTCTAAAGTCAGGAACCTGATGTTCAGTGGTTGTCGTTTGTTGGTGTGGATCATAAGTGTTTCTCGTTTCTCGTTTTTAGCTCACCTTTCCAAAAACATCTTCTCCTCTGAAACTACTAAACCAATTCCAACCAAACTTAAGCTGAATAATCCTTAGGGTATCTAGAATAAAGTTTATGTTTCATTTTCTGTTTCGTCAAAAAACATGGCCGCCATGGCTAACAATAGAACATAGGGGTAAAATGCAGTTTTTGGCTTAAATCTCAAAAACTAAGGCATTTAGAGTTAATCTGACGGGGTAAAGATGTTCATTGGGTCAAGTTCTATCAGCCCTGAAATTTTCAGATGAATCTAACAACCCATTGTTGTGTTGCTGTCACTGAATTGGTAATTTTAAGGAAATTTTGCATTTTTTGGTTATTATCTTGAATATTATTTGTAAACAACAAAAATGTTCAGCAAAGTAAGATCTACAAATAAGTTTAATATGGCCAAAATTGTCAATTGATCCCTTAAGGAGTTATTGCCCTTTAAAGACAAATTTTCACAATTTGTTCATCTAGTTTGCTTACTTTAAAAAATCTTCTCCTTTGAAACTGCTGAATCAATTTCAGCCAAACTTGGGCTGAATTAATGGGTTTCAGAGTACAAAATGTATCTAGTGTAAATTTTGTATTTTAATCATTGATGAAAGATTTATGCAAAATATTACAGGTGAGCGATTCAAGCTCTTGAGAGCCTCTTGTTTATATAGATTAGACCGTTGGTTTTCCTGTTTGAATGGTGTTACACTAGTCATTTTTGGGGCCCTTTATACATGTTATAGCTTGCTGTTCGGTGTGTTTTGTTTTAAACTTTATATTATAATAACTTAATTAATGTCAGTTCTCTACATGCCTACTCCCCTGGACTTTCCGCACATTCGTACCAATGCACTTAAACAATATTTCGCACCACATATCAGAATCCGCGATTCACTGATAAAAGAGTACCAATGCTGCTATAAAAAGAGTAAGACCAGCAATTTTGCCCCACATATATGGCACTAGTATAGACTTGGGACTAGTTAATACATTCAATCTATTAGTCCCAGTATAAACCGACAATATGATGCAGAATAAACATTATGCACTCGCCAATACTGAAAATGACTCGAACCACCAATAAAACAACTATAAACTCGCCCTAGGACTATTAATATATTAATCTACCCTACTATGATGATACGAGAAAAATAAACTACATTTGACCGGAGACTACTGTGTTATAGTAGTCTCAGGTTTTACAGATTTTTACACACTCACACTAACTTGCAAAATAACAGCGGCTCTTAATAAAATCTTCAAACTCTAACCCACAGAAATTGTGATTTTTTATACCTTATGTCAGAGACATATTACTAAATTTTGGTATATATATGTCTCTGCCGTAACCGTATAACGGATAATTCGTCATTCTCTTTAATGAGACCCCTTATGTGGGTGTCCAAGTAATCACATAATCACAATTTGTTTGCCTATATAATCACATTATCATTTTTAAAGCAAGATAATCAAATAATCAAAAATACAGTCCTAGATTATCAAAAAAATCAAATAATCAAGAAATATTTTGTTTGTCTGGTAATCAAATAATCACTATAAAAACTTCCAAGTAATCGCATAATCAAAAACCCCATGAGGCTCACTAATCAAAAACTCTCACTGGAAATGACATCATGCACCTTTTATAAATAAAAAAAATCACGAGTGTTCTTCATCACATAAAGGATTGAGAAAAAAATTGTTTGCAATCATAAATAATATTGTACGTACTGGATTGTGATTGCAAATTACCTTCTGCTTCAGTTCACAAAGCTTAATTGGTGGTGTTTTTATATGTCAATATTTTCGTTTTTTGTAGCGGCACTTCTGTTATTGAAAAAAATCAAGTTCAAATAAAGATGAGAAATGCACGATTACGCAAAACAAATCAAACTTATTTATATATATTTGCGTCGTAGAATCTCACAATGTAGTACACCAACTCAGTCTACATATGGCCGATAACATTCCAAAAAACTAAGATAACTCTATAGGTAACCACTAATGATCACTAATATTAAATGCATACATTTAATAATTCCTGGCTTATCTAGCCAAATCGATACTATTAAAAAATAGTTTGATTTGAAATATTGAAATTTTTCATATTTGCAGTTCTTCTGGAAGCTGATTCCATATATATATTTGAACCAGAGAAACGGTTGTGTATTCAGTACCTGTCCAGTGGATCGAGTTGTCCAGCTTCCATCAAACAAATATCAAGGTAAGAACAGATTTGAGATTAGTGGTGCTATGTGTATTGATGTAATACAAGTTTAACTATTTGGAATGGGTGCAATCGTAGCTGTTCGAAATTCTGATCATTTCATTCTGGGAAATTTTGCTGATTGAGATCGAAACTGAATACGAATTAAAGACCGTTGCAGGCTAATTTTTTCGGTATTTTATAAATCCAGCAGCATTCAACGTGTTGATATCAACCAATCGCGTGCAGGAACTTCAATGAAAACATTGGGTAAGTTTCCTTCCTCAGTAGGACAACCGGAAGCGCCTGAGTAAGAATTTCGGTGCTCAGTGATACGGTTCACTAGACGACGTTGTCAACACGTAATGGCGGCCAGAGCTTGACGTTGATTTTGGCATTCCAAGCTGATAAGTTAAATCATGTCATAATTTGATGCTTTAACATTATGCTACACGATAACTTAAAAGGGAAAGGCTTACTTTATATTTTTAGCTGAAATACTTTACAAATAAAAGTGCGTTCATGAAAATTTAGACTGCACAAATGAAGTGAACTGAACTGACGTGTAAAAGATTTGATGCAGGAAATACCATTCATTTCATTTTTATTCATTAACCACCAACATGAAAGAAGATAAAATTCGGATTGCAACTCAAGCTATCCGGCTTTGACTTCGGTGATAACCAAATTCACAAGACATCCGTTTTCCAGATAGTTGACATTTTGTACAGACCTCACATGGCACACATAAAAGCACGTTTTGTAACTCTCGGAAGATAAACATCAAATACCGACCAAAGTGAGTAAAATTAAAATGCACATGCGGTCAGGTCATACCGACTATTAGTTCTGAACTTCTGGTACCACTGCACTTTGTCTCTGTATAATAATATGATCCCCTGATCTGATGATTAGGCCAAATAAAAAAAAAGATATGTGTTTCCTATTACCCTACCCTCCCTACCCCAAGTGTTTTTTTATCATTCCAATACCACTGTTAAAGTCAGAATGTCCCTCCCATAGACTCAATGTAAAAAAAATGGTAAAATAAAAAAGATTTCCTACCTACCTACCCTAATTTTTTTAAAGATGTAATAGGAAACACACATATAATTTTTTTTTTTGGCCTTATGATAATGTCATTCATTAAAGAGCAATCAGCTATAATTTGTTGTCATGGTTTTCTGTTGTCCTTTTGTTCTGAACTGGTAAGAAAATGCTCAAAAAAGTGAAAATTAGAAGGAAAGGACCAGATATTTAGGTAATTTGTTCAATTTGTGACATTTTGGTGCATGGTAAATGATAGTCCAAATAATTATAAAGTCAGTCAGGGGTACTACTTGTACAAGTAATTTTTATTTACTTGAAGAAGTAAATATTAATATACTTATATAAGTAAATTTGTAGGATACTTATACAAGTGTATTTTATTTACTTGTATAGGTAAATTATTTTTTGGCCTAACTATGTCCCTTAGACATTCAGATTTTTTTACTTATACAAGTAAAAAAGTCATCCTATCTTCTTTTCTTGAATTCTTAGAACTTCTTTGCTCTAACACAATTTTCAATTGTCTGTCCTTTGCAGATGTCTTTTCTAATCATTTAAGTGTAATTTCATGGACAATGAAAATCTCATTTGTCTGTTATCTTCCGAACACTGCTCATTTACAAGCCTAAGGAGCAATTTTTGAAGGCCTTACGCAAATACTTAAGATCTTTGCTCAATCAGTTTCTTTGTTGAATTAATGAGATGAAACATTGAACTCTTATCAAAAATTATGAGCTAACCTGAGAAAAATTGTTAAAGACATGATTTTACATCTCAAAACTTGAGAATTTTTGTAGATTGTAAAAAAAATTTACTTATACAAGTAAATTTTTGAGAAAATTAAGGGGAGATTATTCAAACATTATAATTAACTTATATAAGTATATTTTATTTACTTCTTCAAGTAAATAAAGATTACTTGTACAAGTAGTACCCCTGACTGAAAGTCAGAGTAAAAAAATATAATAGCCTTTCAAGACCTCATAATTATTTGATAGCAACCAACATTGACAGTCAAACCTCGTCTGACCCACTAGACAAGCCCCTGTGATATAATATGCTAAAAAAAAAACCTATGATATTATAACATTATTTTCTACCCAGAACTTACATGTTCATTGAAACAACTCGTAACTTATTGTCTTAAGATATTTCACATTAGCAGTTGACTAAACTTCATACATGTATATACACAAAATTTTATAAATAGTTTCCAACACTGGCATCAGGCAACATGTAAGTCAAATAAAATGGAATGAGTTACATTTTGAACCTTTAAATAATTCATTACCTAAAAATTATCAAAAATGCTACTTGATATACATGATATAGTGTCTTTTCCCTTGTAAGAATTTACATTCATTTCTGATACCAATCTAACAAAGTCTTCATTCATTAAATATTCAATGTTTTCAGCTAAAGTTATTATTTCAAATTTGACAGTGTTCAGCGGAAAGTATTACAATGGGATTTGTATGGCTGAGATCAAAAGATATATTTCTGGAAGCACACATGCTGACCCATAGAATAAAGAGAATAAGGAAAGACAGTGAAAAACAGGAAATATTTGAAAGGGTAAACATTTCTTTTTTAAATATAATAGACTTATTATGGTGTATTTAGATTTCATTACCGTGATATAAATTTATGTCAATTTCCATCAGGAAATTAGTATACCTTATTTTATTTTACTTGTTACAAAATATGCTTTACAACCAAATATATTGTATTAAATTTCAGAAAAATAGTGTTTAAAGTAAACAATGTAAAAAAATATCATGTTATGCAATTGAGTAAAAAGAGTCATTTAATGTAAGGAAGAGGGATGTATAAGTACTCTCCCACATATAGGGCTTACTAAGAATTCTCAACTGACTACCAAAAAATATTTTACAATAATATTATAAAATGAGTACTTGTGGCATTGTTCCCAATGAGATAACTTTATACCAGAGACCAAAGGGCATATGGATGAGTACTGAAAATTGTCTCTTGTCCTCTACATCAGGAATACTGATATAAGCATTTTTTATCGTAAAATTCTTATTTACAGATTGTGGTTTGAAAGTATATTTATTTCCTAGTAAGAATTTATATCAATTTCTGGTAACTTTCTAACAAAGTTTTGATATAAATGTCTCCATTCATTTTATTTTTAATGTTTTGCAGCTAGAGTTATTATTTCAAATTGGACAGTGTTCAGCGGCAAGTATTACAATGTGATTTGGATGAGATCAAAAGATATATATCTGGAAGCACATATACTGACTCATAGAATACAGAGAATAAGGAAATACAGTGAAAAACAGGAAATATTTGAAAGGGTAAACATTTCTTTTTTAAATATAATAGACTTATTATGGTGTATTTAGATTTCATTACCGTGATATAAATTTATGTCAATTTCCATCAGGAAATTAGTATACCTTATTTTATATTACTTGTTACAAAATATGCTTTACCACCAAATATAATGTATTAAATGTCAGAAAAATAGTGTTTTAAGTAAACAATGTAAAAAAACTCATGTTATGCAATTGAGTAAAAAGAGTCATTTAATGTAAGGAAGAGGGATGTATAAGTACTCTCCCACATATAGGGCTTACTAAGAATTCTCAACTGACTACCAAAAAATATTTTACAATAATATTATAAAATGAGTACTTGTGGCATTGTTCCCAATGAGATAACTTTATACCAGAGACCAAAGGGCATATGGATGAGTACTGAAAATTGTCTCTTGTCCTCTACATCAGGAATACTGATATAAGCATTTTTTATCGTAAAATTCTTATTTACAGATTGTGGTTTGAAAGTATATTTATTTCCTCGTAAGAATTTATATCAATTTCTGGTAACTTTCTAACAAAGTTTTGATATGTCTCCATTCATTTTATTTTTAATGTTTTGCAGCTAGAGTTATTATTTCAAATTGGACAATGTTCAGCGGCAAGTATTACAATGTGATTTGGATGAGATCAAAAGATATATATCTGGAAGCACATATACTGACTCATAGAATACAGAGAATAAGGAAATACAGTGAAAAACAGGAAATATTTGAAAGGGTAAACATTTCTTTTTTAAATATAATAGACTTATTATGGTGTATTTAGATTTCATTACCGTGATATAAATTTATGTCAATTTCCATCAGGAAATTAGTATACCTTATTTTATATTACTTGTTAGAAAATATGTTTTACAACCAAATATAATGTATTAAATGTCAGAAAAATAGTGTTTAAAGTAAACAATGTAAAAAAATATCATGTTGTGCAATTTGAGTAAAAAGAGTCATTTAATGTAAGGAAGAGGGATGTATAAGTACTCTCCCACATATAGGGCTTACTAAGAATTCTCAACTGACTACCAAAAAATATTTTACAATAATATTATAAAATGAGTACTTGTGGCATTGTTCCCAATGAGATAACTTTATACCAGAGACCAAAGGGCATATGGATGAGTACTGAAAATTGTCTCTTGTCCTCTACATAAGGAATACTGATATAAGCATTTTTTATCGTAAAATTCTTATTTACAGATTGTGGTTTGAAAGTATATTTATTTCCTAGTAAGAATTTATATCAATTTCTGGTAACTTTCTAACAAAGTTTTGATATAAATGTCTCCATTCATTTTATTTTTAATGTTTTGCAGCTAGAGTTATTATTTCAAATTGGACAGTGTTCAGCGGCAAGTATTACAATGTGATTTGGATGAGATCAAAAGATATATATCTGGAAGCACATATACTGACTCATAGAATACAGAGAATAAGGAAATACAGTGAAAAACAGGAAATATTTGAAAGGGTAAACATTTCTTTTTTAAATATAATAGACTTATTATTGTGTATTTAGATTTCATTACCGTGATATAAATTTATGTCAATTTCCATCAGGAAATTAGTATACCTTATTTTATTTTACTTGTTACAAAATATGCTTTACCACCAAATATAA